GTATTAAAGAGGGCACGTTCTGCATGGAGCACTGGGTGTTATGCACAAACAATGAATCATGGAACACTACATCTAAAACTAATGATGTAATGTATGGTGATTAACATAACAATAAAAAATTTTTAAAAATAGAATAGCTAGTATTCAAGTGTACTTACAAAACTGTTCTCAAATTAAATGTTCTTGTCCTTCAAATATGACAAATACCTTACCACTCCATTTATGCACCATTTATTCAATAACATTAAACAAACTAAACATGTTCATCTCTTAAAGCATTTCCAGTCTACTGTTTACAGTACTTGTATCTTTTCTTTCCTGTGTTCCCGCCACAACTGTCCACCTGTCTAAATCTTATGCTTTCTTTAGGTTAGCTTAAATACCATTTCCTTCAGGAAAGCTTCCATAATCAGCTTGAGTCCGAATTAAAGGTATGAGCCATGATATTTTTGCCTATACCTTTACATATCACCTCATTCATTTCATAGTTGCCATATGCCCTCTGGTATCTGTAACCAATGTGACAGCAAATATTCTCTTGTCTGCCCGCCCCTCTCCCCCGATCCAAATCCTATCTGCCCCCAACGTGAATGTTTCTTATATATAAAAAAACAGGGCGCCTGGGTGGCTCAGTTGGTTAAGCGACTGCCTTCGGCTCAGGTCATGACCCTGGAGTCCCAGGATCGAGTCCCGCATCAGGCTACCTGCTCAGCAGGGAGTCTGCTTCTCCCTCTCCCACTCCCCCTCTTGTGCTCTCTCTCTCACTCTCTCTCTCAAATAAATAAATAAAATCTTTTAAAAAAAAACAAAACAAAACAAAAAAAAAAACACAATCTCCATGAATCTCATGAACATATAAGAAAATTGTAATGTAGTAAATTATTAATTATATAAAATTAGCTACAAATATATAATTTTATTCTATAGCATATTTTAATTGACATTTTATATATACAAATTATCATTTATATCCCTAAAACATATGACAAATAAAAAGTAATTTTCTCAGAAAAAAATTTTTTTTTTACATGGCCTGAGAAAAATATACTTACCTGCTGAAACCCTAGGTAATCTTGTATGGTAGAAGAAGCATAAAAGACCAAAGCATCTGTGGTGACAACCAGCACAAAGCCATTGAGAGCCTACAAGGAAAAAAATTACAAAATTAGTAATGTGACTAAATCACAATATTGCCACTCATAAATACTGACTTCAGTTAAGGCTGTTAGTTTTATTGCTGAAAAATCTTCTCTTTAAAATGGTTAAAATGCTTACATCTCAAACACAGACATTCCATCTACTGTGCAATGAGAGGAATCTATGCATACCTTTTGATTTAGATAAGGAAAAGCTTACAGCTCAACTTAATGCTCAATCACAGCAACTTTAATACAAAATTGGTTCTTTTTCATGCTTTGGATTTTCAGAGATTATAGCTATGTGTACCTGGTAAGTCCCCCCAGGATGAATGGTGGTGGCACCCACCGGGAACTTAAATGTTTAATAATTAACACCTTCACAATTAAGTAGTCTTAAATTTCAGTTGGCAGTAACAGTTACACCCATTTTTATATTTTCTCCTTCTGAAAATATCTTCTTTGTAGAGAAGAGTATCCACTGATCGTATGCATTTTATTTTGTAGAGTGTGATGCTTGTTCAAACAGTCGAATGAATTTAGTACTTTCCAATAAGCTCATTGGAAATAAGCTCATAAGCCAGAAAAACACAAAGATAATTTAAGGTACAATATCACACACTTTTAGACAAATGTTAATTGTCAGAAATTAACTGAAAGCCTTTAAAAAGAATATGTGCGTACCAATCATATCTCAAATGATCTTAAATACTATATGGTACAAGGTTATTACTTATACTGAATTATTATTAAATGAACAGAAAGAATATGCTAATTACATCTTAATGAAAGAGATTATCATTTTTTAGTCTTAATCACAAAGATCTGCCCTACTTATCTGAAAGTCATGATGAGGTTCACTTACTATTTAATATAAGAGAAATAAACTGCAATTGATAGTGTTATTTATAGTTTCAACTGCTGTTAACTCAAAAACGAAGCTACGGATTCTACTAGGCACAGTAGTAAACAGCATGGGCAGAACATGATTAAATAAATGAAAATGACTGAAATTAATAATGGATAATGAAAAGATACAGAAAGTCTTATTTTCATTTTTATTCTTTATATAATAGTCATAAATTTAAGCTAAGCTTGAAGGTAATTATTTTAAATTTTTCTTAATAAAACACTTCAACATTTTATGTATCTCCTTTGTTAAAACTAAAGGAAATGATTTGTCATTAAAAGTTTCATGGCAAGTAGTATACTGTATCTCTGGAAACATTCTCTAAGTCTTAGGGATACTCAGTTGATAATCACATGTTGAAAGTATGAAGTTAGATGCCATTATGGCAACTGTATGTAATGAAATATGCCATTTTCATATATCTAAAGTGCTTCTGGCCATCTCCTCCAGAAGAGATCCCTCCAACCATGGTCCTAGCAAATCATATAATATGCGATGCTTCCTATTGGAAACTAGTTTACAAGTGATATCCAATATAATTCAAAACAGATGCATTTATTTTAAATACCTAAATGTTTCCAATTTTCAGATAATTAAAAAGTGACACTAGTCTTGCATTAGTATTATTTTATTCTCTATCCTTTACATAGAATATGTTTACAATTTGCCTAAATATTCTAGGACGGAAAAAATCATTGGCCCATAATTTAAACTGCTTTATCAAATGTTAAGCATTCCATATTTGTTTATTTTCACTTGAAATAAAGGACTTCCTTATTACTTTACTCCATAACCCAAGGTGTGTGTTTAATCACATAAAGCAGCAATTATAAAAATGTTTTCCTATGACCTGAATAAGGAGCCTTTATGTTTCAAGCTATTATATACATAAAAATCCTCAGTCAGGATAAGAAGAGGACTCCTGCTTGAATATATTTAATTTGTTTAACCCAATGGGGGCAAAAGTTAATTTTCACAATTACAAAAATAATAAAAAATGTTATAAATTGTTGGGTTGCACATAAGGATTTTCAGAATGAATTAATGGAGTTACTAAAAGTTGCAGCTACTTTCTACATGATGGCAAATTAAGTTCTTCACTCCGTTCACTGGGTGGAACTGAAAATGAATACGTAATAGTAATAGCACATATCACACCACACATCTTCATTCTATCTGTTTTTCAACAAAATAAATGCCTTAGAATTTTAGTTAAGAATCAAGCATCGTATTAGTTCCAAGAAATAGAGCAAAAAAAATAATAAAATATATTTTTAAAAATTAAAAAAATTAAAATATTCTCTGAGTTCTAAAACAAAAATCAGGGCTTCTAGTTGTTGAGATAATCTTTAGCATGTTGATAAGACACACCCCATAGCTAAGAGACAATACAGTTACAAAATACATTGAAAAATAAAATTCAGGTTAAGAACAATTTTGAACGATTAAGACAATTAACTGTTTTAATAAAGCTATATTCCTGGAAAAGCATATATAAATTCAATGTCTTAAATGAGAACCTTTAAAATAATCTAGGAGTTCTTGCTAAAGAAATACAACAGGGAGGGGCGCCTGGGTGGCTCAGTCGTTAAGCATCTGCCTTCGGCTCAGGTCATGATCCCAGGGTCCTGGGATCGAGTCCCGCATCAGGCTCCCTGCTCGGCGGGAAGCCTGCTTCTTCCTCTCCCACTCCCCCTGCTTGTGTTCCCTCTCTCACTGTGTCTCTCTCTGTCAAATAAATAAATAAAATCTTTAAAAAAAGAAATACAACAGGGAAATTACTAAGTAGACTTCCAATCTACTTGATACAATTACATTTTTTCATATACTAGCATTACATCACTATTGCAGTTCAGATGAAAGTGACATGAAACACTGGGTGAGTTCTAAATAAACTGGAGTAACTAAAAGACTGATCCATTAATCTTTCATTTACCATGTCTTTATTATGAGAAACTCTATTTACTAAAATTTACCTGTAGTAAGAATTCTCCTTCTTGCAGATGCAGGTCTTCTCTGAATTTTGTTCTACAGTTTTCCTGGACTTCATTCCTGTCAGCTGGGGAGGACTGTAATGAAACTATGGAGAAAAGGGAAAAAGCAATGATATAGTAAGTAGTTTCTCAAGTAAGTGATTTCAAAGGGCTATCATGGAAAATCTCTATGTACATCACAAAGACACAGTCTAAAATATTGTTATCTACTGGTTAAGTAAATAATCCTTTGTCAATGAGTGGTTTCCAAATCAGTGGACAGACTGCGAAAAATAATTACAAATAATTTATTAAAAAATAACAAAATAATTTATTAAAAATTAGTTGTGATGAGCTCATTATGATTTTTGGCATATAACTTAAGAGTTTTAAGGAATTGCATGGTGCTGCTATACAAACTCTTCCCACTCCTATTCATTTACTTATGAGAATAAGGTTCCTCAGAACATAACCTATAAAAAGGATTTTAGTATCTATCTATCTATCTATCTATCTATCTATCTATCTATCTATATCTAAACAGTGAACTTGTAGTGGTGAGGAGAAAGAATCAACCATCAGCCTTATTAAGAAATATATTTCCATTAAGTTTAGAATCCTCCTGTCTAGTTTTAGAGTAAAAAGCAATTAGTATTGTTACTAGAGTCTTGTTAAATTTTTTTTTTTAAAGATTTTATTTATTTGAGAGAGAGAGAGAGCACATGAGAGGGGGAGGGTCAGAGGGAGAAGCAGACTCCCTGCTTAGCAGGGAGCCCGATGCGGGACTCGATCCCAGGACTCCGGGACCATGACCTGAGCCGAAGGCAGTCGCTTAACCAACTGAGCCACCCAGGCGCCCGAGTCTTGTTAAATTTATAAATCAACTCATGGAGATTTTTTTTCCAGTGTTGGTACCACTTTCTTTTTTTTAAGGTGGATTTATCTTTTGTTTTTGTTTTTATTTTTATTTATTTAATTAACATATACTATATTCCTGGTTTCAGAGGTAGAGGTCAGTGATTCATCAGTCTTATATAATATCCAGTGCTCATTACATCACATGCCCTCCTTAATGTCCATCACCCAGTTACCCCATCCCCCTGCCCCCCTCTCCTCCAGCAACCTTCAGTTTGTTTCCTATGATTAAGAGAGTCTCTTATGGTTTATCTCCCTCTCTAGTTTCATCTTGTTTTATTTTTTCCTCTCTTCCCCTATGATCCTCTGTTTTGTTTCTTAAATTTCACTTATCAGTGAGATCATATGATAATTGTCTTTCTTTGATTGACTTTTTTTTTTTTTAAAGATTTTATTTATTTGAGAGAGAGAGAGCACATGAGAGGGGTGAGGTCAGAGGGAGAAGCAGACTCCCTGCTGAGCAGGGAGCCCGACGCGGGACTCGATCCTGGGACTCCAGGATCATGACCTGAGCCGAAGGCAGTCGCTTAACCAACTGAGCCACCCAGGCGCCCACTTTGATTGACTTATTTCGCTTGGCCTAATACCCTCTAGTTCCATCCATGTCATTGCAAATGGCAAGATTTCATTTTTTTTTTTTTTGATGGCTGCAACTCATGGAGAACTAACATATTTATGACTTTGAATCATTCTATCCTGTTCAAATCTATATTTTTTGTCCCACTATAGTATTTTAAAGTTGTTCGCAAAACAGATTTGCACATTAATTTTTATGTTTATTCCTATGTATTCCATCTTCAAAAGTGGCTCCTCCTTCATTATTATCTTCTAATTCCTTGTGGATTATGTATATAAGGAGAAGTCTGATACCATGGCGGGATGCTTACTTCTGGAGGTAGCACGTTGCAATGCTTTCTCTCCTCCCCTCCATCTCTCTTCTTCATCCCACACGTGTGTGTGCGTGTGTGTGTGTGTGTGTGTAGTCTGGGAGGCAATACAACTGAAGCGTAATAATAGCTACTGTGTACTTACTTAGAATTTTTCCAAAGCACTCTCAAATATCATTTCATTTAATCTTAGTAAGTGACAGAATTAAGTTCACATCTTAGTTCTGCCATTTACTAAATGTGTAGGCTCTCTGAGTGTATGTCCCAATACGTCAACTGTTAACTGAAAACGAACAACAAAAAACCATCTTGCCAGATTATTGTGAAGAATAATGAGAATATATGTGAAGTTCCTGGCATCCAGCAGCTCAGCAGTAGTTCAATAAATGGTAACTTTAATTATTAGCAGTGTTTCCCAGATCCTATAGACTATCTTGTTATAAAGTATAACCTTTTCAATACAATTACAATATATTTCCATTTTTCTTATCTATTTTTGACCTTTAATATTTAAATAAGAGAAATCATTAAACAAAATGGACTTTGATATTCTTTTTAAGACTATTTCATTAGATTTTTTATTGTGCCAAAGATCATCTGGCTCAGTGAAAAACGAGATTTATTAATAACCAGATTTACTCTCAGTTTGAGCAAAGCCTCACATATAACACATGTTCATGCTGAAATCTATTTTCTGGTAAATCAATGCATGTGTCACACTGCAATCTTATGCCAAGTTCTTGCCTTTGCAGAACCTGAAACACACCGCTTTTAAAGAAGAAGCCAAAAGTTTGGCCTCTGAATGTTAACAATTTCAAAAGGCCAGAGAACATATTTCCTTAGGCCAAAAAAATAGTTTGAGGTACATAAATTGGTCTAACAGTTAATCAAGATCAAAGGAAATGCTTAATATTTCTCATTGAAAAGGAGAAGAGAAAAAGGTCTTTTCTCCCTTCCTATTCTGCTGCTGCTTGCTTTCAAATGGCCAAATTTGCTTGAATGCACTAAAACCTCATAATGTCAGGGTTAACTACACTCTGTTACTTTCCCAAAAGCTCCAGTATGGGGCACCATTTAAGAGTTAAAGCAAATATCCATAAGATTTACCATTAAAAAGAAAACAACAAAACCAAAAACCCTCACATTGCAGAAAGAAGCAAAGTAATTGTAAAAATGGATAGATGTTACTAGTATCAAATTTTTTTTTTTTTTTTT